GCACGAAGAGAAAGAGAAGTAAAATATTTATTTAATATTGTGAAAGAGAGCGCCACGTGGAGAGAACAGGGAGAAAAGAGAGGACCTAGCAGAGAGGAGAGAGAAGCGTGTCGAGCGGGCGAAAGCGAATGAGAGTAGAGACGGAGAAAAGAGAAAGAGGCGAGTGAAAGGACCGGGCACAGCAACGAGAGAAAAAAGTAAGAAATTATAGTATAGTGAAGAGAACGCACGTGGAGAGAGACAGGGAGAAGAAAAAAGAAGCCTAAGCGAGAGAGAGAGAGCGTGTGAGCGGGCGAAAGCGATAAAGAGAGAGAGAGAGAGAGGAGAGAGAGAGAGATGCTCCGCCGCGAGCTGGAGAGGAGGAGGAGAGAAGAGAGCGTGAGGCGCGCGCGGCGAAAGAGAGAGAGAGAGAAGGATCGAGAGGGAGAGAGAAAGGATCGAGGAGAAAGAGAGAGAGAGGAGAATGAGAAGGAGGGCGCACGAAAAAGAGAAAGAAGTAGAAAGTATTACTTAGGTGAAGAGCGACGTTCGAGAGAGACAGACGAGAAGAAAAAGAGAGTCCTAGCGGAGAGAGAGAGAGCGCTCTCGTCGTGACCGGCGGAAAGCGAGAGGGAGAGAGGAGGAGAGAGAGAGAAAGAGAGAGAGAAAAGAGAAGAGAGAAGAGAGAGAGAGAGAGAGAAGAGAGCGATGAGAAGATGATCGCCGAGGCTGCGCGACGAGGAGAGAGAGAGAGAAAGAAGAGAGAGAGAGAGGGAGAGGATGATGATGAGAGAGAAACGAGAGAAGAAGGAGAAATTAGGGAAAGGAGGCGAGACGCGAGGAACAAAGTAAAATAATTATACTTAGTGAAAGAGAAGCCACGTGAGAGAGACAGGGCGAAAATGAGGAAAGCCTCAAAGCGGAGAGAGAGCGGCATGGCGACGGGGCAGCGAGAAAGAAAAGAGAGAAGAGCCATGGCGCACGTCTCTCTCTCTCTCTCTCTCTCTTCCCGCACTCTCTCTCTCTCTCTCTCTTCCCGCACTCTCTCTTTCTCTCTTCTCGTTCCTCCCCCACTCTCGCTCGCTCTCTCTCCTTCGCCCTCCCGCTATCTCTCTCTCACTATCTCCATCGCTTTCCCCCTGACTCTCTTTACTAAAACGTAATTTGCGTTACGAACTATAGAGTACTAACGAGAAATTTCTCTCGAGTCGAGTGTCTCGTTAGATTATCATGGCTAACCATAACTCTGAAGCATTTAGACTATGTACGTTTTTTCTTCCAGGCTGAGCGAGTACTGCGGCATTGGTCAACGTACAGGCGCTTCCAGCCGGCGGACACGGATCATGGAGTTTATGGCAAAGCAAGTAGTTGGAAGCAAATTAAACGCAGTGAAGGGTAAAAACCTGTTATTATTCTAGATCTACCACAGCGCGAATCATTGATAATGCGATAAGATGCAGTTAAACCTTCACTATAGGATTCCAGATACCTAAAAAATATATAAGATTCTATATAAGAGAGATGTGATGCGGTGAATACGGTAAATATTCGATGCGTAAACTCTAAATGCGATGCTCTTCGTTTTCCCTCCGATATCGCTTCCGATCGCGCTTCCGCCCTGCGCTAGCTAGGAAATACGTTTCACTCAGATCAGTCTACGCGAAACCACGTCAGCAGAAGAAGCGCATCCTTTTATCCGTGTAAGCGTAAGCACGATAATGATGCCGATATCGCAACAACCCAAGCTACGCAGCACGGGTTCACAGAAGCGATTTCACTAATAGGTGTAGGCCATTTCCCTTGATTTTTGCAGTACAGTGATTCCGACAAATAACGCCAATATCGATTTCGGGCAATCTCTGTACATTGGCGGCAAATTTACGATGCCGACTCTGTTATTTGACATGCTATTGCCACTGCTATTAATGGAGATTCGCTTGCGGCTGCCTTAGATAGTTTAGCAATATGCTATATCCTCTCTAACTACACTCGGTTGGTTTTTTTTCCATTTTCACACAAGGCTATCCCTATAATTATGTACATATAATATAAATCATATATATTTATTTATTTAAGATACATACATACATTGGCGGTAGGTATATACACCAATATAAAACCGATACCCATATTGCCATCGCGCGGGTGGTTTAGTCTACGTCATAATAACTCTATTGAAGGAGAAGTTGGGAAACTCGGCGTCTCCGACGATAGTAAAGCGAAGAAGGAAGGTGAAGAAGTGGTGCTCGACCCACGGCAGCTGGCGGAAGAACGCCGAAAGGAGAAGCACCGCAAGAAGGAGGAAGAGAGAGAGCAGATGCGGCAGGAAATACGCGATAAAGTGAGTAGTGCACTGTTGGTGCCTATAAATGTACACGGTCATAGATTTATACAACATCCTGCGGAGAAATACCTCGTAACAGCCGTTGAGTATATGGTTTATCAGATAATGAAGTCTTCAAGGATGATGTAGTCTAAGGTATAACCTTGTTGATGGGATTGTAACGGTTGTGTGGCGTATATGCTTGCCACTGATGGTTAGGCATCAGAGTTGATGGTAATCCATCTTAGTTGCTTGAATCTAAAATTAATCTATTATTATCAATAATGTTATCTATTATGTATTATAAATTTAATAATAGCAGTGTTTTTTTTTCGGTAACTCCCACTGTTGTTATCCGTATCAATGACAGAATACCTAATGCGATTACCACTTACAAATTGCCTATTATGTATACCTGCTAATTAACGTGACATTTGTCAGTATGGGATCAGAAAGAAAGTCGAGAAAGAAGCCGAGAAAGAGTTAAACGATATGACGGGCCGCATTGGCCGCAAGAAGAAGACAGCGGAGGAGATCAAAAAGGAAGAGGAGCAGGCGTTGGCTAATCAGGAGAAGGAGGAAGAAGAGCATGAGCAAAGTAAGACACATTCGTTACTCTGCTGCTCCTTCGGCTTTGTGTGAGATACATGCGCATGCGCGTTAGAACAGCGTTAGCGTCTATATCGTCCGACAGCACCAATTTACATTCGCATGTCCAGCTTTCTAGAACTATCAAATTTACTTATTTATCGTGGACGAGCCCATCGTCCGTTGACTCGTCCTGCGTGCCTGCAAGGCATCCGTCTAAAATAAAGGCGTCGAAATAGAGATTTAAAGCTTAGTGTTGAAGGAGTCGGCTTGTAGCAACGTAGCAGATTGTAACAAATAGTAGAACCGTGGCAGAGTAGAGATTGTAGCTTGTGACAGAGTCCCATCAGGATGGAGCAGGTACAGCGTAGACACTCGCAGATTAGATGTAACTCTGGCTTTAATTATTAGTAAACTCGAACACATACAAAATATATATACATAATACTACATACAACAGCCTAGGTTTCGTCCATACTGGAACCCGCCTGGCGTCTTTCCTCTCCGGTTCTCTACATCACTATCTGTCTCTCTACTTGTAACTATCAAGTATGACTTGTGACTGTCGATCTCTCTTCCACTTCCCATATAATATACTCATTCAAAGACAGGTCGGGCACTTCCACAATCTGATCTATTGTCCAGCTGCTTATTCTAGTGATAAACACATTAACGTGTCTCTCGATCAACGTATCTTATGTTATTGTAATAATATGGAAGGAGCCCCACGCCTCCACGCCAGTTAGCATACAATAATAGCTTGGTAGTATACTCTGGTCTGTGACTCTCTGTGCGTTTCCGCAGACATCCGGAAGCTGTGTTGCATAGTGATTTAAAATGCCGCTTACGTCACTAAAACAGCGATTACATCATGAGTCCAATTTCTATTATAAACTCTTGATAACATCAGAAGTAGATAATAGGGAACTATCATCTATTATCTACCCTATATTATCTACTTCTGATAACATGTATTGGAGAAAACTTCCGCGTTCATGCACGCATGCGCCGAATTGTCTAACAACAAGATAAGACACTAAACCTTTCAGCTCGAAGATACCGGGATGCTAGCTATTTAGTACATGACTGCGCTGCATGCATAATTGTAAGAACTCCCTTTGAAGAGTGTAAATGCAATAGAGCTTCTATAGATAGTTATTTATAGATCGAGAGAGGGACAGAGAGAGAGAGAGAGAGAGAGAGAGAGAAGAAGAAGACGAGGAGAGAGAGAGAGAGAGGGAGAGATAGAGAGAGACAAACGCACGCGCACGCACACATATACGCGCGCGCCCGCTCGCTCGCTGGCACGAGATGGCACGGAGACACATACAAGAAAGAGAGAAGAGAGAAGAGTAGGAGAGAGAGAGAGAGAGAGAGAGAGAGCGCAGGAGAGAGAGAGCCGAGAGAGAGAGAGAAGAGCCAGCAAGAAAGAAAGGAAAAGAGAAAGAGAAGGAGAGAGAGCGCCACTAAACTGCCGATGGGCAATAGGGGACACGTCGCGAGGGCCAGAGACCGAGCCGAGAGAGGGAGCGAGGGAGAGAGAGAGACGAGAGAGAGAGAGAGAAGAAAGAAGAGAGAGAGAGAGAGAGAGAGAGAGATGAGAGAGAGAGAGAGAGAGAGAGAGAGAGAGAGAGAAGAGAACCTACTTCGTGCTAAAACTTTTTGACGAAATGCCTTCAAGTGAAACCTGTTCTCTTATCGGCAATTCACTAGTGGCAGAGCGATATCATCGTTGTTATATGAATGCTGAATCGATATTTAGTACCTAATTACAATTGGCGATCCAAATAAATTTGTCTTTTCGCTTTTGATTTGGACATAACGGTGTTATTTTTATGCAGGCCGTTATTTTCGTTGAAATCTCATATATAAGCCTGGATCTGCTTGATAATTAATTTTTCGTGTCATTATATAGGCGTCCAGCGTCGCTACGCCCACGGCCTAAACGATCAGCCTGCTTAGCACGTGAAAGTTCACTTATAGAAATGTTGACTACTATGTGATTACAGTAACAGAAATTGACGTTCACAGTGTACAACACCGACGCAGCTCGTGTTCGGTGCATTTTTGTCTCTGTCTAGGTTCCATCCTTTCATTTGGCCGGATGACCTTTGGTCGCTTCTACGTTTACTAGCTGCATGTCACTCAGCAGAGTGTGGAGCCAAATGGTGATTTATGACGGTTTACGAGACGTTCACTAACCATGCAGTTCGACTTCGAACTCATTATAAAGTTATCCATACGCCCTCTTCGCGTGTATGCCGAGCGTGTGCGTGCGTGTTGTGTGTGTGTGTGTGTGTGTGTGTGTGTGTGTGTGTGTGTGTGTGTGTGTGTGTGTGTGTGTGTGTGTGTGCACGTACGTGCGTGCGTGTGTTTGCGGGCGTGCGTACGCGTTTCTGCGCGCGTGAGCGCGTGTGGCTGTGACAAATAACGTGACCAATGGCTCTTTGCGAGAAAATGTGATTCGTCTGCCCCGCATCTATCCACAACTCTCGCACGTGCCACTTTGCAATTCAAGTGCGCGCCACTTCTATCATCTTCGCCTGTCACATGCTATCAACCATGTTTTTATTTTGCCAGGCGACCTGCCTCTAGACTTGACTTTCGTCAGGAACAAAGTGGCGGAGATACAGAACGATGTCAGCGAGAAGTGCTCGTGTATGTGACACGCCAACGCCGCCGCCATTAACGCCCCGGAGAGTGTCGAGTTTCAAGCAAGACGTAGCGACAGTACAGGCTTTGCGCGCGTTAGAGCAACGCGTGAAAAATCGAATCCCGGACGGACTGCACTTCCGCTGTCGGCGACGGGTTAGACCGCGTCAGCATCCTAACGGGCGGAGGGGGGGGGAGGCACGCGCATCGATGAAATTCAGCTACGACCGACCTAACCCGAAGTCGAACATGAAAGCCATTGAAAACTTTGTGAGCAGCCAACCCTAGGGGAAAAAAAGCGCGATGCACTCTCCGCTATAGCATCTCTCGCCGGCGAGCTGTGCTACAGTAATGGCTGCATGCTCTCACCACTATCCACCCACACAGCGTTGCGTTGCCATTAGATATAGTCAGTCATTCGCTCTGCGCACACGTGTAAGGTTAGAATTAGAGGTGACCTTCGTGGCGGGCCTTCATCTGTGCATATATAGGCACAGCCGAGCCGGGCCCGCTGCGTGGATTGATGTGAATGCGGTTATCCTACGTAAAGGGTTCGTTAACATAAGCGCGTCTTCGTCAATGGTTGGAGGTTAGCCTTCAACGTGGTGGACCTTTTTTACGTATGGATCAGACGTTGTCTAGAGCATTCGCTTCAGTTGACTAGCTAGCTCTTGACACTTGCATATATCGCAGCGGCCTTCGTGCGCCCCGCGTGCAATTGTAACGGTGCGTAGTTTTAAGGACGACGTCGCAGCTAGGGTGCTTCATGCTTCACGCGGCAGGTTTCTTGAAAAGAGCACGTAGGTACGCGTTCTCTCGCGAAATGTTGGCATACGCGGAGAATGATGACGTCATCGATTTATGAGCGCATTGCGAGAGCGATGATACCGGACGCGGGCACTGACTGTTGATGTTCGTGGAGGCGATTAGCCCAACCATGGCTATTAGACCCGTGCCACGTTACCGGAGCTAACTCTCGGAACTTCGATGAAACACATAAAAACATTACATTACATGTCAAATTAGCGGGTAGGCCTACACTTAATTTTGTTGTTATGCGGCTATAATATCGTGAAATACGTGCATTGAATATTATATATATATATATATATATATATATTCATATTAATGATAAAATGGGGCATCAGAAACGCAAACGAGTAAGGCTGTATCTCTCTATTTGATTCGCTAGTATTCTTGTACGCAGAATAATACACGTCGATTGTAGCAACTTTCTGTGCGCTCTGTGTGACTACGATCGTTCAACGTGTCATGTCAGAGCAGCATACTCCTGCTGTTGTATGTCATGAAAATTACACGATATACTGGTTGGTATACCGCTAAAGATATTCCTCGCCTGCTCACTGTCTTTCATCCCAGTGACGTCAGCTCCCGCAGCGCCACGCAGCGGCTATAATCACCGTCGAAGTTAACGTTAATGATTAACGCCCTTGATCGTAATGGCCGCTAGAGGGCCTACCACACCAGTTAGTGCAAACTCCACGACAGATGGCGCTCTCGCTCTGGCTCAATTCTACATCCAGAGTATATAGCTGACTATATCTGGCTGTATCCTGAGTGTGGGAAGGGGGCGCTGCATGCAGTTTGCAGTTAGTGTAGCCGTGCGGAACATAACGACTGTATTATACAGGTTACGTCGAAGTGCGTGTGTAATGTAATCACTGTAATGTCAAACCGCTTCATATGAAACCAATCTCGCCTAAGTAGACCCCCAACTGCGTGATGTGTCTTAACAAAGAGCTGCCTACTAAAATGAGCGACAAGCGATTTGAGACAACCCTGCTGCTAAGCACTCGTACCGCAAGGGTAGCAGGATATACTTGTGCCATACGAATATTAAATATATACATAAATAAAAAAACATTAAAAAGAATCTATTAGTATATTGGTAATCGTAATATAATACAACCAATTTTAAAAACTATTTACATGCTTTTAAGTCTGTCAGTGACTGACAAGTGAAGTGAAGTGTCAGTGACGGGGAGTCATTTCCCTCGATATGAGATGGTGCCATTGTAACCTAACCCAAGCAACCAGCCAACATGAGCAACAATATCTGTACTATCACAAGACTTTCTCTTGAAATGATTAATGAGTAGTCAGAAATGAATAACCAATAATAGTATTGACACTATTGTGTTTATAACGAGCTTTTACTGTCAATCTATAAATTTCTTAGAATAAATTATTGCAGTTATCTCATTAAGTAAATTCGACCACTCTTTCTCTGTCAAACTAATATTTTTCACAATATATCTGTACATCTTTTCTGCTAAGGAATATATTCAAGTTGTATGAATGGAAATTTGAAGGATCACACATGGTCTGCAATTATAACCTCATCTTGTTACACCCATACAGGTACGTAACAAAGTTATAATAAAAAATTAAATTTTAAGATCATGCATAATTTATTGGGCATTTCTTCACCTCCCTGACGTTTGATCGAACCTCATCCAATTATCGAGACTCAATACATATCATCAACAAACTCAAGAATAAAAATGCAACGATGATGGGCTCAATACACTTATACACACCATACACTACACTCCACCCTAATGCTGATAGTAATAAACTAAATACATGATATTCTCTAAACATTGGCTTTACATTGGTTTGCCATTAGACCGGTGCTTTTGGTACGAAGACTCTGAATCAGATTGCGATTCTTGGCTGTGCTTCTTCTCTCTACCCATTTTAGACTTTTTATGATGTCTATCCGATTCGGAAGAATCCGAAGTAGTGCTCTTCCGCTTCCTCTTCTTCTTCTTTTTCTTTTTGCCCTTGTGCTTTGACCTTTTGGGGTCGGAGCTATCAGAATCTGACTCGGAACTGTCCGTTTCCTCTTTCTCCCTCTTCTTCTTCTTCTTTTTCGTCTTCTTCTTCTTCTGGCTGCCGTGCGACCGTGCGTCTTTAGATTTACGATCATCCCCACCGTCTCTCCTCCGGTCCTCACCTCTTCTCTCATCCTGCCGTCGCATGCTGCTCTCCGATTCGCTGCTGTCGCTGGAGCGGTGGCGCCCTCTATTCCTAGCATCTGGCAAATCTCTCCTGTCGCTGCGGCTGCGTACAATCTCACTGCAAGTGTTATACACCAGTGTGCTTCAAATCAAAGGACCGCTTCTCGCATTAAAATTCAGTAATAATTATCAATTATACCCAATTTTATTTAACGAAGATTCGACTGCTGATAGAACAATTGCACTACCAATAGGGGACTGACCGCACGTTTATTTAGCAACCCGAGAGCTCAAACATTGCCAGGGTGTCTACATCGAACGCACGCAATATCAATAATAGCAACTAAAGCGTTTAATAGCAACTAATAGTTTTTTAAAGCAAGGAATGCATTGATGCACACGTCAAAAGGGAAGTCCATCCTTTAAAGAGGAGGACGCGAAAACAGAAAAAATGTGAGCTGAAAGACAGCCCACTAGTGGACATACCTCGACGTTCCTCCCCTGTGATTACTGCCTCGTCCTCTTGCCTCGCTTCTCTCCTGCCTGTTCTGCGACTGCTCCCCGCGTCCCGCCATGCCACCTCCTCGCTGCGGATCCCTGTGCCTCGAGGGCCTCTCCTCGGCAGGGCTGTCACTACGTCTGGCCCGTCTATCACGAGGCGGTCTCGTGTCCTCGTCAGATGCTACGAGTTTATACTCGCTGCGCGAGCAACGGCCAGTTAAAGAAGACATGTGGAGAACGCGCAGTGCGGGCGACAGTTGAACATGCCACGAGTCTAGATTCGACGCAGCTACCCGCCAATCGTAAAGCCACGGAAGTGTTTAAGGCAGAGTAAAGTATGTCGATTACAGTACAGCGGTCATCTTTTTTTTTACATGGTTATTTCTAAGCTGGTTTTTAAACATTCTACACTAATCTTCTTAATCTTCCACTCGTCTATATTTATAAAGCATAATATAGTCTCAGACGATGTGAAATGCTGAAAAGGAGTTTAGTTGACAAGATTTCTCTGGGTAGGACGGAATGCTACTTTAAACTAATATTTACACATAAATAACTATGCAGGTTTGCTTATGACTATCAAATAATCATACGAAGCCAACTACTATCAACGAGTAACATAATAGACCAACATCTTATTGGTAATAGATTTCTGCATTGTCACACATACACATGTAGAGAAAAAGTCAATTTCTTCTGGAGTTTAAATACTAGATGAGACAAAATACCAAACTAGCATCTAATATTCACATGAAATTTTACTGAAAGATTATGAACACATGCAGCACCCTTAACTGGACAAACGTTTCTAGCAGTCATTTGTTTAGGGCCATAGCATTGTCATGTCCACTTAGTTGGTTGACAGTCACGAAAAGGATACTCTTTCCTGCGGCCATCCTTCAGCATGTATTTTGGCTTCTTGTTTTCCTCTTGATTTGTGTCCTTGGAGTGCTCGACACCTTTACCTGCATCCCAATAATAATCCAGATCTTATACGTACAAGAAATAGAAACCAATTGACTGTTTTGGCTATTACAAAGGATGATTTTAGTGAGATTAATGATATGTACACCATTACACCTCCCACTGTGAGTATGACACAGGGAGATCCAAGCTTGTTTGCAGTCATGTGAACATTTTCTGGAATAGAGTCATATTGCCAGCATCACGACAGTTACTTGCCAGAGTACTGCAGTAAAGTATGACACGTATTTCCATACACCACTAGAAATGTTCACGCAGCGCCATCTATTGGAGAACATATGTTAATTTGCAAGAAAAACGCAATGTCACTAATAAATACTAATCTCTGTATGTCTTGCCTTTTCCTTTCCATTTGACCTTTGATACAGATTGGCTGAAGTCCACGTGAATTCTTCTGTCATCTATTAGTACATTGTCCATCTTGAAATAAGCACGTTCACAGCTTTCTGGCTGAAATAGCAGGTAATCAATGTCTTCCCCGGAAACATCACGAATGGCCAAAATCATTTAGTTTATATTTTCTAAGTGATTATGAAATAATTTAATGCAAGAATATGAGGTTCACATAATTGAGTTAATTGACATTCTGCACATCACAGACATTGTAGAAAAAAAAGACTTTGGGCTAACAATATACATACCTCTTCAAATTCTATGAAAGCATATTGCAGTGATTCACCAGTCTTGTGGTCTCGTATTACTTCACAACTGTAAATCAGGTTAGACCAACATCAGGAAAAATACATTTGCACGAAGATCTAGAATCTACACGACGAGAATTATCTATGAAAAGCAAGCTTGTTTGCACGGTTACGCGTGTATGCGTACCCATGCTCGCAGTAAAAGTAATGAAATCATGATTACCTTCCGATTTTGCCGAATCGCGAAAATATGATTTCCAGATCTTCATCAGTTGTGACCGGATTCAGCTTGCACACAAACAGTACGTTGTCAGGTGGCGCCACCTCTGCTTCAGGAAGATCACCGACCTTGAGAGTAAAAGCGTGATGATGCAAGCGGGGAAACAGAGATGCAGTACGTTGTTTGATCATGGCTCGTGCATAAGAAGTGTTGTTTGTTCACCACAAGATCTCACTAAATGAGCTGAGATAAAACGCACGATGAAACGGGTAAAAGACAGCTAAGTTATGTTTCCACATGTTTTTTCTACCTCTAATGCCCGCCGCACACGTGAGTTATTTCACTCAAGTAAACTGACGCATAAGTCAAATTACTCAACGAAAATCCGCCGCACACGTGAGTAAAATGATGCATGCGTCAAATTACTCAACGAAAATCCGCCGCACACGTGAGTAAAATGATGCATGCGTCAAATTACTCAACGAAAATCCGCCGCACACGTGAGTAAAATGACTCATGCATCATTTTACTTGAGTAAAATAACTCACGTGTGCGCCGGGCTTAACTCACTTCTCTACTTCCAACTGTAGGCGTTTATCTGGACATACATTACACAAACTATATGTATACATTACACAAACTATATGTATACATTACACAAACTATATGTATACATTACACAAACTATATAATTATGTTACATGGAACTAGAATTCAGTGAACATACAAGAGGAGATGATGATGATGAATAAATTTAAGGTTGTATACCAGAGCATCTTACCATCTCCAAAATTTGTGTTCTCGCTTTTGCCTCTTTTTCCTTGATCATCTCTTCCACCATCTCTAAAGTCTTACCCTTTGTCGCATCTATTTCTTCGTCGGGGGCTATCCTTCCAGCCTGCACAATTGAATGTATAACATGATGTATATGATTGTATAACACAATAACACAAAAATAATTCGTGGATTGTTTCACTCTTCTTTAATACGTTCCCGATAAAGTTCCTTAAAATTGCGCTTGAAATCATAGCAAGCAATAGACATTTTCACTTCAACCTAAACTAAATATTCATGTTCTTTGTCCCCCAGCATCCAAACATGTTCACCAAGATCTAATTGCTTCTTGCGGTTAGTTGACTTTAAGGCACCAATGTAAACAGTATAAAGGATTGATCCACTTGCTACCTCTGATATCTTTTTAATGTGTTGACCGAGTAGAAAACGAGTTTGTCTGATATTCTGAAAATCTTACGAAGACTGCCGAGTGTCACTGAAACGGTCTAAAATTGTAGTGAGCACTCTACACAATTCAAAGTTCTACCAGCACGAAAGATTTCGAGGATGAGGGGATATTAATCTATCTTGAAAACTAGCGCTAATTCACTGCTGTGTACCTCCATCTGCTCCTTGGTAGGTTGCGGAGATCTGTCAGGGTAGTCGATCCCAGGCGGATCATCAAACGGATCGTCGAGTACTATCGTGTGGTTGACCCTGCAAGCAAGGATGAGGATAGAAGCACACGAATGCTACACATACATACATAAGAGAGTGCATAGAGTACGCTAGTCTGCGTGATAGATTGCAAGTCTCTTCTGTCAAAGCTCACACAGCAAGGCATGAAGACGAGTCGACAGATCATTTTCAAATTAGACATGTATAATTACATTGCTAGGAAGTAACGATAGACATCAACTATTAGTCCTCTTGCTTTATTACTACTTCACTTCTTACAAACTAAGCTAGTTTTGCTGCTTACGACACAATTAATTAGAATAAATTACAATAAACATTTGCATATTTTTCGACCTATGAGCATGAAAATTGTGATTAACGTTCCGCGTTCTTTAACATCCAACTGCCAAGCTTCTGTTGATACTAATCACAGAAGAGGCTACACAGTTGCCGCGCGCACCTGATGTCAACGTAGGGTCGGTGGGTTTCATCACAGATGGCTTCACTCAGCTTGTCGAGCACATCCAGTCCCTCGCTCACCTCGCCGAATACCGTGTGCACCCCGTCGAGATAGTCCAGGCTCTCCCCCAGTGTGAGAAAAAACTGCAAGCAGATTATTCGTCATAGTCAGTCACCTCCAAATTAAGCAAGACTGAACAATCTGAAGAAGAGGACCCAGAACTCAAAATTTTAGCATTTGATTTATTATTTCTCGTCGATTATAGCATTATTCTGGTCACATGACCCGTAGAGTGTATCCCGGTTACTTTCTCTACAATCAAAATACAAAATGGGACACTAGCATCAGTCATTAAGTGTTGGGTACATGTATAGATATTAGGTATGACCACATTTCTAGATTTCTGCTATTGAGCAGTCACACGTTTGGACATCACTGCAACTATGCTTTAGATATTATGATGTATCATAAAATGCACATGACTACACTTAAGCTGAATTAGTGTTGGAATGTGTAGCACTAAGGATGCTTACCATACAATTTTCATAGTGTATGTCTTATAACAGAGCATGCTGTAGAACGCCCCATTTTTTGTTGCAAAGAGCAGCGTTAGGTATGTGAATAGAACGATCTTTCTAATCATATATGGCATATAAATGATCATGCAATCATGGAATGCAAGAAGCACACACATACCTGGGAACCGTGCATGTTGTTGCCGTTGTTTACCATCGACAAAGTGCCCAGCTTCCTGTGCTTGATAATGGGATTCGTTTCAGCCTCAAAGAACTGTGCCTGATCACCATAAACCTTGCTGTAAGAAAGAGTAATAATGCAGCTGAGCTGTTGTTGATATTATTATCTTTATCATCATCATGATCCACATCATGACCATCGTCATTATATGGTAAAGCCAAACCAACATATACTGATGACATTAATATCTTCTTACTTTGTACATATTTGCTATCTTATTCTTCATTAAAGTTTGTGCATCTACTACATTTATGAATGTACACAGTGATTCACTTTTTCTGTGTGCTGCAGGCAACTATCCCCAGTTAAGTATTATTGTAAATGAATATAAACTTTTGCACATGTAGGATTTTCTCTAACCAAGTCATCTGTAGTGTGAATATATTGCGCATATTTGCTATCTCACACACTATAGTGCAATCAATAAACAGTACCCTTATATTAACAGAAATTCCATAGAATTAAAAATTAAAAATGGGAATGCACATATGGAATTCATAAAGGAATACCTGAAGATAGATTGGCCACCTCGTCCTGTTCCTGTCGGATCACCAGTCTGTGCCAAGAAGCCCTCCTACATAATCACAATAACAGGTATATACACTAGGTGTAAGGGTAGAAACTACCATCACAATTTCTTGAAAGATGCTTTTCACAGGATTTTGTGAATGATCATTTAATGTCCTATAATAGCAGTGGTAACATTGCTATGTTAAAAATATCAGTTAACTTGTAGCAGCATGAAGCAATTTATATTACCCCTGTTTCACAAGCTTATTAGAGCCATCAGGATACAGAGATTGTTGTAGTAAATAAAGTTGACCTTCAGGTCATCATTTTAAAAATGACAGTAATAAGAGTTCATACTAACCTGCACTGAATGAAATAGGCAATAGTTGTAGAATTTCAGCTTGCACAACTTCAGGAAGTTCAAACATGCTAAAAGTGGTAAATCATTATTAGAATTGCCAAAAATTAAAATAGCATCGATTGGATGCGTAATATATGCAGCCAGGCCAATCAGCGCAACCGCAAACAGTTGCCAGCACCTGTCTTGACTTGTGTAACATTTGGGCGGTCATTTTGCATCAACATTCGATGAATTTCTACGATTTAATAGCATTTTGGTGGGCCGATTGTCAAAAATGGCAGGTGTAGCTGTTGGAGCCGATTGCAAACAGTAATGTTGGACAAAGCTCAGTGGCGAGTTGAGACACTGTGGTGTTATATACATGTGTGCTGTACCGTGTGTGTGGTACGGTGGGGGGGGGGGCAGACTTGATCCCGCTGCCATTGAGTGTGTAGTATTGGTACAGCACTAACGAGTGACTAGACGATCTGCAGCCCGGATATCCACGCGAAGCGCGCAAACGCCGTGCAGCGGTGACAATAAATCTTATTCGCTGCCCTATATAGAAAAATTTCGCCAGTGCCCTTTGGGTACAGGATAAAGCCGTATAATCGGTCAATTGAGGAGTTCTGGCGATTCCACAAGCCTTTCGACTATGCACGTAGGTCGAGAATAAATACAAATGCTGGTAATTGCTCGTTTGCTGGTCGGCGCGTTTCCTTTTCGTCTAGAAAAGCGAGTTTGTATTTCTTCCGTTTCACGCCCTGAATTTATTCTCGTACATATGGCGTGCCATAGATGGCGCGACGAGGCTCTCTTGGAGGGATTTTCAAGGTATTTTTCCACACAAGGATCGGCGATTCGGTTTAGACTGCTCCGCGGTGGAGAGTTCCACACGCTGCACTAACTATAACTTTAGTGTAGCGAAAGATACTTGGCCGAGTTAAGGTCCGTACCAGTCTACCTCGAATCGTGACGTGCGATTCAAATTATCGTAGCCATCTTAGTACCCCCGACGTTGATTGGCTAAGCCCATTGATTGATGTTTGTTTTTCACTGAGAATTTCCACTAGATGTTATCTGGAAAAGCGCCTGGCTCCGTACGTGCGAGGTTTTTATCAACCTCTTGACCCCGCGCTGCCCGTGGCGACGGCACGTCGTGCGAGCACATGCTGGCGTGGCCGTGGCAGTTTTTACACGTAGCTAATCCTACAATACGCCGCCACACTGACACACAAATATATATATCCACATGTTTTTACGAAGACGGCGGAGCGCGACATTCCAGCCTCCCTCCTCCCCCGCGCTCACGTGGCGGCTGGGCACGCCTCCAAATGCTATATCCAACAAAGCTGGCTAGGGGCAGTTTTGCGCCGCGGTGACTTTTCCGCTATAAATTAGATTTTGTATTTATTTAGGGCCTTCATTTTATTGAAACGCTAGTGCAAGTGCATGCTTGTGTGCACTGCTGCCGGCAGCAGTTGATGCATGTAATATACGATACCTTATAAGCCAGGTGGCGGCGGAAGGGAGCGTAGAGAGAGAGAGAAGAGAGAGACAGACTGTGGGGAGTGCGGAAAGATAGAAGAAAGAGAGTGGGAAACGCCAAGATAAAGGTACGAAAATCAACGGCAGGTGGACCGGAGAACAGGCAGAGCGATGTATCAAACGCGTGTCAATCTAATAATCGGACAAGGCCCCCCTCCAAAAGCGCCGATTAGCCGAGGCCGATGTACGTCGTCCCGAAAACGTGCGCGAGTGTTAGGCGGCTGCCCGCTAATACTCATATCGTGCGCCGAAGGGAACGCGGCTGTCCGCCTTCCTTCGGCGCACCGCCGCGAAATTCGTAATAGGCGGCGGAATGCGAAGATGCTACATACAAACACACCCGCGTCCGGCGTGCGCCAGTCCCGCGAGAAAGTGCGTGGCTTAACCGCTTTCGGCGGTCGGAGGAACAAACGCACGGTTTGCGCAGACGCCATCCTTGTAGCGCGGTTCTCTCTGGCTAACTGTTTAACTATTATTACTAGGACTAGGAGTAGGACTTCGCTCGCGACTCAAAGTATGGTGGTGAAGAGCACACGAGAACAAACGATCTACGAGTGTAAACATCAGCGTATGTGTGTACCTAAACCGACCAGGCTCTCCGACTAGTTACACGGCGGAGGAGTGTAACTCTCGCCACGTAGTGTTAGCGAGATGGGAACTTGTGGCTAGTGTGTACACAATCAGACACTATGCATGGCAGCAAGTCGCAGGAGTGACTACTTTCGGGATCGCAAAGGGATAGTCTGGGACGCCGCAATATGTTTTTTGTATAATATGGGCTACACTAATACTGTGGTGATAAACTAGGCTTGGGCTGCTCTACACTACGCGAAATCATGCTTACTTCGTGGCTTTGCGCTGTGTGAAATCTACTGGTGATATCGCCAAGGGTTGTTTTCAAGGAAGTAAACTGCGGCATCTTGGTCTCAACAGTGAGAACACGCCGGGGGTAGGTGTGCGCGATACCTTTAAGTTACGTTCAGCCAATTTACTGTGCAACGAAAAAATAACAGTAATTAATATTTTCGGTAGATTACGCTGTATATTTACTTAATTAGTGTATGACACAGATAATATGTGTAGTCGCAAATAATAGACAAGTCTCGCCGCGCTCCCGCAGAAGACATGCGTAATAAAACGTATCTTCTAATACTAGGCTTCGAACAGGTATTTCTAAAATACAACCTAAAGTATTGTGGCGATAGATGGAGGCACCGATGGCGTGCCGCTTGCCTTAGCTTTTGGACTGTAGTAAGTATGGAGGCCATAGAGTTTGTACTAAAATATATAACTCTATATATACGTAAACTATATAACTCTTATGGTATAAGCATTGGTATCAGCTTTATAGTATGCGCGGAGGTAATTACGAATTTTTAATACGCTCTTGCTTATACTATAAAGCTGATACCTATGCTTATACCATAGAGTTATATATAATTTTTAATATTGCATGACTCATGGCAATCGGCTCGCGTGTGTGTGTTCGTGGTGTGTGTGTAGCCAAACTAGTGTTCGCCGCGGATCGATTGCAGCAGGGCAGCTTCGCCTTAGGGCGTCCCAGTCAGCAGCAGGCACGCCTTAGGGCGTGTCCAGTAGCAGAGCAGCTCGCCGTTAGCAGCGAGCCCAGCTGTTTATATCACATACAGTGTTAACAGCTCGGCGGGAGGTAATGCACTTTCGTGAGTGCCGCTCGCCGTGCCTAGTTCGGCTAGTTGGTATGACGGGTGAGTAATCTTTTATTTTCATCGGTAGCAGGACGATAATCACGAGTTCTTGAAATAGCCTTAATAACTGTATTTAAACAAATGTATAAATAACACAGTATAGTGGCAGTATGACATGACTTAAGAAATTTTGCTTTAGCATAATCACCCATTTGAGACAGCGCTAAAATGATTAAAACTGATGAATGATACAATTTATCATTTCATCAGTTTTAATGCATTTAATCCAGTTAGTTATTTTATAACATATCTTATTAACGCATAATATATATTTATATATTTATGACTGAAAAAACAGATAAAAATCTCGAAAGATTGGAGCTGCGAATAGAACCTGAAAAAACAATGAAACAGTGGATTTGTAAAATTTACGCATTGCACAGCCGCATTTTCTTTCCATCGCCAAGAAGTTACAAATTTGTAAAGTGCTTGAGATAGTTCCTGTGCATCGAAGTTTTGAAACCAAAAATTTTTTTGGGGGGGGGGGCAGGTTATTTCATAACTGTGACCCGTAATGGTCCGAAACTTTTTCTTATCCATATTTACCATTTATTAAATTTGGTGAGCTCAACATTTTTTCTACGGTAAATTGTGGCCCGTATCCTTTCAAAGGTGGAATTATAGTTCATCTTTCGCATTTCATTTTCCATTTTAATACGCAGACATTGTTTTATTACAATTTTACTGCCTGACTCTATCTCTCTTCCTCTATCTCTCTCTCATGCTCGTCTCTCTCTCCTCTCTCTCTCTCTGTCTCTCTCTCTCTCTCTCTCTCTCTCTCTCTCCTCTCCCTTCGGTCCCTCTCATCTCTCCGTCAAGTTCTCTCAAGTCTCTCTCCCTCTCTCGCAGCTCTCATCTCTCCTTCTCTCGTCTCTCTCTCTCGCTCTTTCTCTCGGTCTTTCTCTCGTTCTCTCTCGTCTCTCTCATCTCTCCTCTCTCCCCCGCCCTCGTCTCTGTCTCATCTCTCTCTTCTCTCTCTGCTGCTCCCCCGCTCTCTGCTCTCATCTCTCATCTCGTCTCTCTCTCGTCTCTCTCCCGCCCTTCTCTTGGTCTGCTCTCTCTCCGTCTCTCGTCTCTCTCGATGTCTCTTCTCTTCGTCTCTGGCTCTGTGTCTTTCTTCTCTCTCTCTCTCTCGTCTCATGCCTCTCCTCTCTCTCTCTCCCCCCCCCCGCTCTCTCGTCCTCTCATCATCTCTCGTCTCTCTCCTTTCCTCCTCCCCCCCCCTTTTTTTCCCTCCTTCCGCTGCTTTCTCTCACTAAAAACAGCTTGTTGAAATGATGTATAACGCAATGCGTATCTTGCGTTACGTAGGCTACGTCCGCTCGCAATATTGTAAATGCCTCTAAAATCCATTTTTTCGCAGTTTTATTGTTATTGGCTTCACTACAGAAATTTCAAATTATAGAACAAAAATTAAAATTTGACAAAATAAACGATTGATAGATGACTTTTCGAGTTACATCGCCTAGGCCTACTACTACTAGCAGCCCGTTCCAAGTATTTCTTGTCGTAAATATGAGAACAATGAAATGCATATATTAAAAGCCAACATGGAGATGTTGTAAGGCCAAGCACGCATTGATTTTAATCAATTGTCATGATTTCTGCACCAACATCTTTTTAGCTCGCACCCATTTCATATATCGTTGTTGCTTTCGCATCTAAAAAATCTAAGCCTCGCATCTGCTTTCTAATTAATGAAATTCTCGGTCGCCGAATTTGTAAGATTGGGCCATATATCAAGTATAGGTCAGGCCGACAACGTGCTTCTAATCGCATATTCATTATCTATATTAGCCATGCTGTTGAGATAG